CAGCCACAGCCACGGGGTAGCTCCAAGTGCATGGCTGTGTGACCATCCCTGTCCTTGTCCCCATCCCATCCCATTCTTATTCCTCTCTTATCTCCATCCCCACCCTGTCCTCATCCCTGTCCCCATCCTCATCCCCTTCCCCATTCCCATCCCATCCTATCCCTGTCCCTGTCTCCATCCCAACCCCATCCATATCCCTGTCCCATCCCCATCCCTATCCCTGTCCCATCCCCATCCCTATCCCTGTCTCATACTCATCCCACCCCATCCCCATCCCTGTCCATGTTCCATTCCCATCTCTGTCCCCATCCCATCTCCATCCTAACCTCTATCCCCGTATCTGTACCCACCCTCATCCCCATTCCACCCCAATCTCTCCCATTCCATCCCATCCCATCCCATCCCACCCCATCCCGTCCCGTCCCGTCCCGTCCCGTCCCATCCCATCCCATCCCATCCCGTCCCGTCCCATCCCATCCCTGTGCCCTCCCAGCCATGCAAGGAAGACAACTGAGCCCTTCCCACCCTCAGCCCCCTCTCTGGCTGGGATAAGGACATGCTGCAAGTCACTGCCACAGGTCATGGGGCCAGGGAGACACATGCACAGCCCAGAGCTATTGGGGACTTCATACTTGTTGTCCTAATGCAACTGGCTCACTGTTGGGGCTGGAAAGCTGCTGACAGGCAGAGCAGGGGTGGTCTGATTTAGAGGAGAGCAGCCCCCCAGCCAGAGCAGGGCTCTTGGAGAGCCCCCATCCCACCTGGGCACCAGGAATGCTCCTGCCAGGGGGGAAACTCAGTGGAAACTCGCCAGGGATGACAGAAGGCAGCGGAGGTGCCACCACCACACCAGTGATGGTGGCGGGAGGGGGACACGGTACCTGATCCCAGTGCCCACCACTGGGGCCTGGGGGTGGCGAGGGCAGAACATCCCAGAACATCCCAGAGCATCCCACGCGCGCACGTGAGGCCGCAGCCCTAATCCCCAGGGATCTGGGCCACGTGCCCCGTTGGGTGCGA